GTACTTCTAGWAGAAGAAAGTAGTACAATMGGACCCCTGACTGTACGTATGTACCGTAGACCAGGGGTGCCGTAGACATCAASCTATTGCTTGTCGTMAGAAATCTATTGATTTGGTGTCATTGCAAGCGCCACCCACCCCTTCCCTTGTTGAAGCGTTTGGTGCGACTTTGGACCTACTACAGTCACGTCCAACGCGCCATTACCGTAGGACGCTTTCTTAAAAAACGACCAGAAGAAGATATCGTAGTTGCCGAAGTCCAMGATGTGACTAGCTACCCAAGAATGCTGACCTCATATCTACTACATGTTGGATTTYATGTTTCCAGTGGTTCTTTCCTCTTGTTTCTCGGCACACTTACAATACAAGTTTTGACATTTCTAGCAATACTWGTAGTACTGTYATGTACCATCATGAGCTGTRATTGTTTCGTTCCCAATCTAMTATGYACAAAAGTAGTGCAGATGGCCTCACTGTTGGAAAYTGGGGTCTTAGTTTCCATAATCAGTTAGCTTCTTTTTATGGTGTGTTCATGCAATCAAGAAAGATATGGCTTAATKAACTTTTCTCTATTGCAATGTATTGTTRGAGACATGCTAAGACCCTTCTGCATCTTAACACACTACTACCGCATCAAAAGTGCCATGCACTTGCTGTTTTGCTGACGTCCGATCCACACATACGACCAGTAATCCCCAACAGTCTTTTTGTTGCGACATTGGCATTGCCCTCAAARCCAGCAAACCAAGGAWTTATTTTTGTGATTTGGCTGACCATACCATAGAAAATATCTGATCACGGTCATGATACCATCATTGAGGATTACTGTGTCCTCCCTGTCGTTGGCCTCGTATGTATTTCTTTGAACGCCAATGCTAGCCTAGCATGGGCACGTAATAACTGCTTCACTCCAGTACACCGGTACTATTAATGAGATGCATTCCGGATCTTTGTTCAACTTAAACGTGAAACTCGATGTTTCCGGCACCTTGCTCTTGCATGGCAAGATACTGCGCATCGAAACGCTCGGTATTGCTCGTCGATGCATTCCTAGAAGCGACCACCGCTGCCCCCTCCCGACGTGCCACCCCCAAACGAATACTCGCCACCCCCACCGCTGTCACCTCCAAARCTGCTCTTGTAGTTGCTTCCAGAAGACCGGGTGCGATGCGCCTCTCGCACAATYGCCGGGTCGTTGTTTCGGAAGRACGGGTCTCTAGCCAACGATCCGCTGAAGGATGGACTCGACCACCTCGTCACGTGCTCGGTCGAAATATACCGCGGATACAGCTGTGCCAACCTTTCGAGGCGAAAGTTTCGATCCCTTTGATACAAGTCCATTGCGTCGTGAATTTCATCTGCAACATTGTCCTCTACCAAATTGTTTGCCTCGTTGGCATTGTCGTCATCGAATACGGKACTATCATCGTCGTCATATCCAATGCTGGTGGTGGTGGTGCTCCTGCTGTTGTTCCTGTCGCCATTAGTTTSTTCGTTTTGGCTTTCGGCCGTTTCGTTTCGTGTCAGCAAAGGTGTGCGKATCTTGTCAGCAGGACAASCACTAGACACGCAACCGACATCGGCACGGCACACCGGGCACTTTGTCACGTCCCCTCTTCCCGATGCCACCCACTCTTCGTAACAGGTTTTGTCAAAGACGTGACCACATCGCAGCAACTGGATAGGGCGACCATCGGATCCAATGTGCTCCGATCGAAAATCCTCGAGGCAAATCGGGCAGCTCGTTGCCGGGCRGTAGGTTCCCCGCAACGCCTCGGCTCGAGCCCGATCGATTTCCGACAACCTAGTTGCAGCCGCGGCGTAGTCTCGCTGGTCTCGGCGTGTTTTCCACCTATTCAGTGCCCCCCATCCAAACACAAAGAATGCCCATGTCAGGACAATCGCGTTCTTGCTTATCCAATCAAATACGCATTCGAAGACCGAGGGCTCTTCCCCTTTCTCGAGGACTTCTGCGATCGCATCGATGCCGTGCATCAATCCCTTTTCGTATTCGGCCCGTTTCAGATCTGGTCTCATCTCGTTGCGAATGATCCGATCGATTCGACCGTTTGTCAAAATATGCCTTAGTGCRCCACCGGTGGATACAAAAACAACGCGRTCGCGAACACTGAGGAATACAAGGACACCGGTGCCACCACCGCCGCCATTGTTCTCTCCACCATCGTTTGTGTCGGGTATTTCGTAACCGATGCCCCATCTGTCGTGTAGGCTCATTGCAGATTCTCTCGCATATTTCTCAACCAAGGTATCATACTCGTCGTCGTCAAGATTTCTCGGAATGCCAAGTTCTTCCACTATGGCAACCGCGATTTGGACGGGAAATCCATCGACGTCGCAATCTGRATCGCTTTGACCTTTGACGCTCGCGTCTTTACCGGTGTTTTGACACCCTGTCGACGTMATTTGTCCCGTTCTTGACACGACGAAGCGGGACGAGTAGAAAAGGAGTTTTTCTGCGATGTTGTGCTTTGCTTCTCGGGTTAGGATCGCGCTTGGATCACTGACGCCATCGTTCGGTGGCGGAATGCTCTGGAGTCTTTCCCGAATATTCTGCTGCACGGGAGAYAAGTGAGTCTTGCTCCCCGTATCAGCCAGTGTTCCCCTTGCCCTCGGTAGCAGCAACAACAATGTAGTGAAAGTGTGAAGTATTACCTTCTTCATCGTGCTTGTGGAAATAAAATTTGCTTTGTCGACTGTTTGTTGATCTTGTATTTCGGAAAAAGTATTTAAATTATGTCGCTWGTGGTTCAAAATCTGCAACACAAGCATCGTCTAGAATCTCGAGTGTTGAATGGTCGCACCAGTACGTGACGTGACACCCCAGTACGAACCGTACCGTACCGTGCAGTAGCATACGACACGGAAAGAATACTAGAAGTCGATGGACACGACTCAAAACTTTTTTGTGGACTCGACATTTTAAATCTTGGATGCTTACAGTACTGTATTACGGTACGTTCGTACGGTRCTAGCACTTGTACCGTACACCGTACCTGCAATGTTTCAAATTCGAATTCCGTACGGGTTTCCTAGTGTGAAATAGTGACACTCCTTAGTAGTGCATCTACTCGTGATTTAGGCTCACATCTAGTAGTACAAGTACAAAGTTTTCTTATGTACTGCATAGGTAAAGCATTCTTTGGGCATCATAACGTGTCGAAAGGTTGAAAGGACTGATACAGTATTGATTAAAGTGAAGCAGCGTTTGTGCGCTTGTTGAACGGAACCGATCAATTTACAAACTTGATTTGCTTCAAAGCTTGTTTCGATCAAATCATTTTTGATCGCATCTTTTCAAAAATGACTTGAGGCATGGGCGCAAAACCGAGCACAACGAAAACGAAAATCCTGTTGTTACAATAGTTGAAAATTACCAAGTTAGTAGTATTCTTCTAGTACARTACTTTAAGAAAGAAGTTGCGAGCCTCTCTRCAGCACGGTAATATAGGATCTAGTAGTTGGCGACTGACWCAACGGCACGTATAGTTTTTCWCCTCGCTGGTTGTACCGTGTGGTGCAGTGTGCTGTTCTGTTGCATTCGTTCACGCCAGCGGCACCGCCGCCCCCAGGAGATTGAAATTCCGGCAGCTCCCAAAGTTCTCCACCACCGATACGCCGCAGAGCGTCCCACAGACCTCTACCACGATCGTTGCGTCCGGCTTGCCGAGGTCGACCCTGCAGTCCGGAAAGAGCTTCTGCATGAGGTCGCCAACGATTTGGATGGACCCCTTGCGGTCCAGGCCGCTGCAGTTCCGTCTCTTGAAGCGAATGGCAAAGGTCTTGGTGCGCTTCGGCGAGACGTACTTTTTMAGCACCTCCTCGCARGTCAGCCCGAGCTCCTCGGGGGACGCAAAGCACGTGGCCTGGATGGGGATCATCCTCGTCACGAACCTCGAGCTCGGGGCCGCCTTGTTGGAATCCCCGGCGTCGATGTCGGACATGATYGCTCTGACGGCCGCGATGGGATCCCAGGGGGGAGGATCGGAGGGAGGACGGCCCGGCGGGCCGCCCCCGGCGTCCGCTGCTTCGGAAGCCTCTGGGCTGGCCGCGGGTTCGGGGTGGTCCGCACCGTCGCCTGACTTGGTCTCTGCTTTTTTCTCCGCGCGGTTGGATTCGGGAACCTCCGGTCCGTTGCTGTTCTTGTTGCTGTTGCTGTTGTCGTCGTCGTCGTTGTTCCCGCTGTTGCTGCCGCTGCCTTTGTTCTGTTTCTGCTTCGATCGCATGTACTCGGTCTGGATGGCCGGTATCAGGCTGCACTTTGGAAGGGTGCAGAGCACAAAGACGGTCCCCCGGCAGTTTGTTTCGTACTCCCCGAACGCGGACGACGCGTCCGGGGACCCCTTTTTCGATTTCAGGAGGCTCAGTTCTTCCTCCAGGCTCAGCGGTTGGTCGCGATCGTCGTCATTGTCGTCGTCGTTGTTGTTTTCGCTTTCGCCTTCGCCGGCGCTGCCACTACCACCCGCCCCCGGGGAAGCCGAGCGGTGGTAGTGGTTGAGGATCTCGAGGCCCTCCCGCTTGCACTTTTGTTCCCGGCCGGTCTCGCAGGTGAGCAGGACGCCCGGATTCCCCCGCCTCGGGCGGGTCAGGAGGCCCCATTTTCGTTTGTGGCCTCCYCCCCCGCCCCCGCGGTCGAAGTACTTTCGCTTCTTGGACGCGGTGGTGCTCATCGATCGATCCGTCCGCGGTTTCGTGTGGCCGCCTGTTGCTTTCTTTCTGTAACGTGCTGTGCTGTGCTGTGCTGTGCTGTGCTGTGCTGTGTCGTGCCAGATCGTGTGCACAGGACGGAACGAAGCACCGAACCGGACTGCGGGGATGGCGAGTGTCGTGCAATGGACTTTGGCACGGTGGCGTGGTGCACAAGTATGGGACCGAGGACGATGCGAATCCTTCGTGTCTGCTAGTCAAGCACAGAGGCCAGGTCGGGCAACGAAAGGTTGTTTCCTGTGAAGTGCTTCCTTGATGGATTGCAATACGGTACAATAACAAAAGATTTCACTGGTTGCCGCAGTGGGTACAGTACGAGTAGTACGGTTCGGTACTTGTCCCTAACTGTAGGGTACGTACATACGATACTGTAGTGTACCGTCCGGTACCAGTTAGCAGGTACCGTACGTACCACCGCAAAACAAGAGCATAGTAGCGGGAGGCCTCCTTTTGGATCTTGGCGGCGGTCAGACACTATCCACGTTTGGATGTAATGTGTAGTACTGTGCACGTTTGAGAAGTGTGCCACCGATCGAAATTTCGGTTTGTGTGTGTGAGCGCTCTTGAACACGAGTTGTCATCCCCTCCGCATCGCCTCGCATCTCGCATGCGGTTCCAATGCTTTTCCCAATGTGCGGTACGAGTACCGTACGGTACGTACCCGTACCAAAGCGGACCCTCACGCTCGGACAGTCCTTCATACCCCTGACTTCATACTCGTTTTCATGCCGCCCATTTCGCTGGGACAACTCCATCGAAACACTCGATAGCAACCATCGTCTTGGTGCAAATCGGAAGAGTTGCATCTTATCAACGGCATCGGAAAGGCTGCTCTCGTCGGTTTGCCTGCTGCAAGTCTCTGGCGAACAGCGACACCACCACCTGCCAATGAAGGGCTTGCCGGGGGCCGCCCACCCGACCGCCAAGGCCTTCTTCGATGCCCTGGATCGATACAACCAGGAGCGGCACGAGCCGGGAGCCGGAGCGGGGCACGAGGAAGCCGGCGGGCCGGGGCCCTCCGTGAGCGAATCGCTGAGACGGAAAACGCAGCAGCTGGGCTGGCGGAACCGGCACTCGCAGAACGAGCACTACCCGATCACCGTGCTGCAGCGAACGCCAACGCCGGGGCAAACCAAAACCAAAAACGGCGGGAACGACGACCGCGGCGGTGCCGACCGAAACCAGAACCGGGACAAAGACGGCGAACCTCAATCCCAACCCCTGCATCGGCTCCGATCCCGGAGCTTTTCGGTGCGGCAGGTCCAGAGGGGAGAAGTCGAGGGAACCTACGGAACCGGGGCGACGGTGTGGCCCGCGGCGCTGGTCCTGGTCAAGTACCTCGAGCGCGTGGCCAACGACGGCGGCGGCGACACCGCCCTCCCCGACCCCTGCGACGTGCGCGGAAAGCACGTCCTGGACCTCGGAGCCGGGACGGGCGTGACGAGCATCGCGGCCGCGCTCCTGGGAGCGGCCTCGGTGGTCTGCACCGACGGAGAGGAATCGGTGGTCCGGCTGGCCAGGGACAACGTCCGGGCGGCGGGCCGCGAACTGGCGCGGTCCGCCACGGGGAGGGACAGCGGCGAGAACG